ATTATGTATACTACATTCTGCTTCCATGTATATCTGCACACTAGAAGAGGGCGCCAGATCTCATAATGGATGTTTGTGAGCCACCATGTTGTTGCTGGGAATTGAACACATGACCTCTGGAAGAACAGTCAGTGCTCTTAACCTCTGAGCCATCTCCCCAGCCCCCGGAAAAATATTCTTAATGAAAAAAATAAATCAAGGGAGCAAACACACTTTGAGATCTTTTAAAGTTGTTAGTATAATTTATTTAAAAGTGTGTCAGCGAAGATCCATCCACATTGACCTGTTTGTTTTGAGGAGATTTGGAGAGAAATCAGCTTGTGTGGTCCAGATCTGTTAGGCTTACAGGCAGGTCACCTACATTTTTAACATCCCCAGCATGCAAGTTCCCAAGTACAAAGTTTCAGGTGAACACTATGTAGACAAAATGGGGGTTTTGGTCTGCATATTTTCCACTTTTAGGGGCAAAAACATGAGCCCTAAGCCCTAGTGTTTAGGGCTGGTGTTTTTTATTTAGATGATACTAAATATCTTTGTATTAAAAATATTTGAAATATTTCAGCCTCTTTCCAATATTACCTGGGTATAAAATATATCATACAGCCTGATGAATTTAGAGTATTATGAGTATTAAACAAGTTTTGGTAAACAATAAGTAAAAATCACTTTGACTTGGGGACTAGCTTATAGTCTTAATTTGAGTTCCTTTTGTTTTCATGTCATGGGAAGTGGACAGTGAAGTGTGAAGAGAAAACATATTCTTGTCAACAGTGAACTAGATCAGAAAAGGGGACACATCACCTGGCTTGAGACAATGGCTGACTGAAAAGCAGGACATCTTCATAATATGGAAATGAGACAAGAGGTTGTTACACTGTTTTGTTAATTGTGGTTAGGGACTCACAACAGTATGATCATATTTAGTGGCTTATTTGTGTTTTGAAATATGACAACTTTTTTTTTTACATCCCACTAGTATGAATTCACCTGGTGAAGAAAGTTCCAGAATAAAAACAGAAGAAGAGGTTGGAAGAAGGTCCAGGCCGCACCATCAGAAGTTGGGAAGGGGAGAGAGGACACTCAGATGGACAGAGATGGTGTCACCCAACGGGAAAGGTGGGCTGCTTCTGCCACCTAACTGCTCTGCTGGATTCTGAAATAAATCTAAGAACGCCTGCTCTTCAGATAGACGGGAAGTTGCCACCCCGAAACATCTGACTGCAGGAAATTACAATATGCTGCTCCAAAATAAGCCTCTTTTGCGTAAAAAATATTTTGAGCTAATTATTCTGGGAAACAGCAATCACAACGGATGCTCTTAAAAGAGAAGTTATCTCTGTGTAAGAGAAATCACATTTAAAAAGGAAATATCCATGTGTAAGACAGTCTCTTTCTGCAGCCAGGAGAAAGGATGAGTAAAATAACCAACCAGCAACTCTTACCAACGGAAGCTTAACAAGACTTAGTCATCATATTTCTTGGACTGCTCCCTATAACCATATGCTGCCCTTACCATAACCAGCCTTCTTGGAGTTTAAGCTACCTGTTTGAGATTTACTCATTTTCCCTGGTACCTTCAAGAGGTATATACATTAGTGTGTTTGTGGTGCTATAACAAAATACCCGTGACAAGGCAATTAATAAAGAATGGAAATGAATTTCGTGCAGTTATGGAAGCTGAGATGTCTAATATGCTGGCACTATCTGGTGAGGTTGCTCTCTGCATCCAAGATGGCGTCTTTATTCTTCTGGAGGGAAGAAGCACTGCGTCTTTACATGGAAGAAAGGTCAAGAAAGGGCTCCCCATCAACCACGAGCCCTTTAGTAAAGATGCTAATCCCGCTTATGAGGACTCACTCTCATAATTTAATCATCACCCAAGTGCATCCTTGAATACTTTTGTCATATGTGTTTTGCTTCAACATGAACTAAAGCTGTTTCAATGCAAACCTGGTAAGTGATAAAAAACAAAACAAAACAAAAATGAAAAACGAGGAATGCTTTCTTGTACTCCTATGAAGAATACACCTGAAAGTAGCTTTCTCTAAATCTGATCATTTTGATAAGTGCTCATTAGTTTTCCAATTGATTTTTTTTCTTGTAGATAGACATCATTTGAGAGCAGTGTGGGAGTTTCCAACTTTAACTTGATTTTTACTTTTTATTTTACTTAACTAGAATATCCCTTTGTGTCTGTAATATTCTGTTTGAATTACCACAATAAAATGCCATAGATTGAGTCCTTCAATAGCAGGGACCTGTATTTTCACAGCTGCACATGGTTGGTTTCTGATAAGCTGCCCGCCCTCCATGGCTTGTAGAGTGATCTCCTGTCCCTTGGTGTTCTCTCTTAGTCTTTCCTCCACGAACTTGAAAGGCTGGGAGAGATCTCATGCAACTCCATTTAACTGTCTACTGAAGGCTCTATCTCTACGTACATTACACTGAGGCATGGACCTTCAACACAATATAAATTGTGAAGGGCACAACACAGCTCAAAGCGGTGCACAAGGAATAGTGTAAGTACTGAGCTTTTTCTTATAGCTTTAAAATTTTGAATTAATATTACATGTGATACTTTACATCATGTCTTGAATATCTGAGAACTAGTTCGGACCAAGTAAATATGCATATGCAAATATGTGAGAATTACTATGGACAAAACATAAGTTTGTTTTGGATTATTCATGACAGTGGTTTATTTGAACGGTCTGTGTATCTTTTAGACACAGACCAGATGTCCAATAAGCACCTGCTGATAGACAACAGAGCCGCCACAAGTGTTTGCTACTATTTGCATATTGAATGTCTCAACTGTTTGTTAAGTGGTTTATACTGAATGTCCCTCCTCCAGAAGCTGTCAACTCTCCATAGCTCCTTGGTTAGAGGTGGGGACTATGGGCTAGAATGTTGATTGACTTGATCCTGTGCAGCTCTGTGCAGGTCACTACAGATGCTGTAAGTTCATGAGTGAAATGGTCCTGTCATGTCCAGATGACACTTTTCTGGTATGCCCCTCCCCAACCTCCGACTCTTGCAATCTCTCTCTCTCCTTTTTCTATGCTTCCTAAGCCTTGGGGGGAGAGGTATGATATAGATGTCCCATTTGTGACTGGGCACTCCACAGAAACTTATTCTCTGCACTCTGACTGGTTGTGAATCTCTGTATTAACAGCTGTATGCTGTACAAAGAAACTTCTCTGACAAAGTCTGAGATCAAAATTGTTCCTAAAGAGTTCATTTATTTAAAATTTCCTGACTCAAGTAAATTAGGTCGATGTTTAAATTTTTAATTTAGAAAATACATCAAAGAAAAATAAATTCACATATTTGAGATACATTGTAAGGATTCATTGACTATTAGTTACCTTGTAACCTCTAAAAGGATAAAATTAATGATATGCATAATGAAAAGCCCCAAAAATATTTACTGCCATAGTGCTATCCTTTTTGGCAAGAAATAGAAGATTTCCTTCATTTACTTTCTGTCCCCTAGAACCCCCAAAGGATTCATTTTAGAAAAGTAACTTATCAACCCAAATCTCATTGTCAATGGATTCACAGACAGGAAAGCCAAGCTGCCCTTAGGGTCAGTTTCTTGCTTTGGCTCTCAATAGTGGAGTGACCTCTGATGTATTCCTTAATGATTCCCAGATCTAGTTTCTCCATTCATAAAATTAGAATAGCATTAATGTACTATGTTTTTCTCCTGATAATTATAAGCTAACCTACTTGAGATAATGAAAACAGATTCCATCATGTAGAAGCTCAGCATATGAAACCAGTTCATTATTATTATTTAAGAAACCATATTATCGTGTTTTTTAAATTACTGACTTTAATTTGAATTATTTAACTTGTCTGTGGTAATGAATCTGAAAAAGTCTTAAAGAGGTAAATTTCCAAACATGATAATTTATGTACTTACTGAGTTTTGAGACAAGGTTTCAATGTACCCCTGGCTGGCCTGGGATTCCCAAGAGATCCACCTGTCTTGTGCCTCCCAAGTGCTGACATTAAAGGAGTGCTCCATCACACCTGCCTGAGTCCAGGCTTTCCCACTCATTCCTCCAGGCCTTCTTTCAAATTTTCAAATTCATGGCCTCTTTTGTCATTGTTTATGCATATATACACATAAAGAAAACCTCCTCAGCCCATATTTTGTATGTATGTTTCCAGGGATTACCATTTAACATTAAATAACCAGTTGGTGTACTGTTCCCTGGATAAAACTATTTCTCCCACTCTCAGCCTTCCTTAGTTGCCCATAGATCTTTATATGGTTGAGGACTCCATGTGCTTTCCCCACCCACATTTGCATGTTTATTGATATCATCCTTGTTTAGTTCATGTTTAGGCAGTCATGTGATTAATTACTTTTTTCTATAAAAGAGCTGTCTATGGGTTAGGCATGGAATAGAACGAAGGTGAAATAATAAAATCTTCTAACTGAACCTTGGTCTCCTGCAATGTTTATCCAATCTAGGACTTCAGGATTTGTTCTTAGGTGAATCAAAGACTATGAGACAACCTTTATTATTATGAGAAAATAGACAGTTTCTTAGGAAGCACGACTTTATCGTGCAAAAGTTTATGGATTTATGTCCAGCTCTATGATTTAGAGAGAAAGGGGAACAGTCCTTTCCTGAGTCAGAAGTTTTTCTCAAACTATTATAGAATAACAATTATGACTCCCTACTTCTTATTTTTATTGCTGGCTTGAAAAAGATGACTCTACAATGCTTACACTAGGAGGATATTATTCTACAAATAAGGGCCCAGCATGACATTTATGAGAAAGCCAGGGTCCTCCTGCGCAAAGCTGATTGGTGCTCAGCCAATGGGCTCTAGGATGTTGCCAATAAAGGCTCCTTGCTGCCCTGGGCTGGACAGATGCAGGGCAGGGGGGGTCATCTCTGCCTCTGAACCCTGGGAAAATGCTAGCTGTCTCTCTGAAAAGCACACATCTGTGGCCTGCCAAGAGGAGCCAGACCTTGAAGATGAAACATCTGCTTCCCCAGTTCCCTTCCATCCTGATCATCTACTGCTTCTGTCTGCTACAGATTCCCTCCTCAGGTAAGGGGACTGTCATCACATCCACCTGAGTTTTATGGAAGACTGAGACGGATCTTTACCCTTCAGGGGTCATTCTCAACGGAGTTGAGCTTCCTTCCCTCACCTACCCTCACATCCACCCTCTTGTCTTCAGGTGTGACGCAGAATGATAGACACAGCAAGATGCCACAGCCTTTTACACAGAGACTTTCCCCAGAGATACTGGTATTAAACAGCCCTTGCCCCAGGAGTATCTTGGTTTTGTGGTGGTGAAATGGAAGGGTATGGTCTCCATGTGAATTGGGGTAAGGCCCTGCTTAGTAGACTGCTTCAGAGATACTGGAGGTGAGAACACAGGCAGGAAAAGTAGGATTACATTCCTCCAAACTGAAAACGGATGGGCAGCTGAAGAGAGCAGAGAGCAGCTATGCAGGCAAAGGAATTATATCCTGAGGTGGGAGAAGGTTCTCAGAAAGCTCAGGGCAACCTGAAGGCAGGGCATCCTCCAGTCCCTCAGGCGCTGTCCGCGGTGCTGAGCGGCCTCTGCACAGCTTCTGAGAAGCAGTTTGTAAGGAGCCAGAAATGGGGAGAGGGTCTGAAGTCTCAGCCATGATCAGATCACCATCTCCAGGCAGTTTGTCATAGAATACAGGAAAATGGACTATTGATGAAAAACTGTGATTTGAAACAAGGTCTATTACAAAAATTTGGGTTTTTCCATTAGAATTCTGACTTAGAGGTATAGAGAACCTTGGGAAAAAAACAGTGTGCTTGTTTTGTCTGAAAGAGTAATTGAAACATCTGAGCACTGTGAGAAACAGTATTAGCTTAACATCTCCAGAGTACCAGGTGTCCTCTGTGGTTTCCAAGCCTGGCTTTTAGATTTTTCTTGGCTGCTTTCTTTAACCTGCAGCTCAGAGCCAGGCCTGGACAAGTAGCTGATGTCCCTCTGACCTCCAATAGAATCTTGTTCAAAGTTGAAATTTTGGTTTTTTAATTTGATTGTCTGCATATTTACATCGCCCCATTTTTCCTATTTGGTTTTGTTTTCTGAGGGTAGAGTCCTGTGGTCTTCATTTTTGTATTAGCACAGACCTCTCAATAAGACCTTGTGGTCTGCAGTATTTATAATTATTAAATGATCATGATTATCAAAAATATCTTTCCATTAATTAACCTGTGACCAGATCACATCTCACTTCCAATCAGGGATTCTTGTTAGGGTCTGTGTGGGATTTTGGGTTTAGATGAAGATTTCTTGCTTGTGACAATTATCAAAATAATTGAAGGGATTTAACATATACATCCTAATTTTAGTCTTTATAGAGAAAGCCAAATGTACCTTTAATTCTATGTTACCTTCTATCATTTTGAGTCAGGTTATTGCTCTTAAAGGCTTGAACACCATTGTTTGAGTATGCAGAAGCATTGCCTTAGCTTTCTTTTGCCTCAGACTGCAGAGAACAAATTTTCAGAAGCCCTTGCTAACTGTATGCCTCATTTCTGACCCTTGATCACATTCTGCATTGTATTGTCACTGCTCCACAACATGACTGTGCCATGGTACTACACGAAGCTTTTGTGTGTGTGTGTGTGTGTGTGTGTGTGTGTGTGTGTGTGTGTGTGTGTGTGTGTATGTATATTTGTTCTTGCTAGAATAAACTTCTCTTGAGCCATACACCCCCTGTTCCACGTTATATGATATCCAAATTTATTTATTTAATCTTATTTTATTTATTTATTTAATCTTATTTTGTTAGTGCTGACTTATCCTCATGGATTCTCTTAGCTGCATAAACCTCCGAGTGTAATGTCATGTGTAAATGACAAGATATGTTCATTTAGTCAGAAGGGGGCTGGAAGGGTCCAGTTACATACTAGTGGCAACTCTCCCCAGCACTCCATCCCTGGAGAGGCTGATGGTGTGGAGACAGGTACCTGCATGTCTTAAAAGTCCTGATTAGATGCACATTCTTTGTTATATTACTTTCTGACATTTGATACTCACAAATTCCACCAAAATATAAGCTTACTTATCCCCAAGTATTTTCTCCTTCTTTCTTGATTTGCTAACAGAGGGACTAGAAACTCTCATTACACCAAACACAGACAGTTTTAAAATTATGTTGTTGCACATTTTGGATTTGATAGTATTAGGTAGAAGTGTCTTATCTTTTCACTTCCTCTTAACTATACCTTCTGTTGCCTTCTTAACTGTTACCTTCTCAATGACTTCTTTTGCTCAGCTCTGTGGTGGGTTCTATTAAGACCTCTGTATATTTTTTATGGCATGGCTACAGAAGCAAATGCTATGATCTCTTTCTGGAATTGATGTTTTGATTATCTTTTGTTATAGGAGTTTCTCAACCTTTTGCTGATTCTCCAGATGGCTTGGATATTATGGGGCTTGAGGTATGCTATTATGCAGCATTGTGAGATTTGTATTTAGTCCCAGCTTTGAAAATATCATGTGGTTAATGTTCACTTAAAACTATTTTAAGATGAGATATTTGGCTGCAGCAGAAACACACTGTGATTGCTGCATGGCCTCATTTAAGACATCCTGAGAGCTGAATTGAAATTCGCTGCATGGTGTGAGGAGATAATTCAAGGTTCATAAATGGAACAATTTTAGAATTTTAAACATGCTGAAGGGGAATTCTACTGGCTAAAGAATTTATTCTTGTATTTGATTTATTTTCCTCATTTTGTCTTTTAGCAATTGGTATACTGTCTGAACCAGTGGAAAACACTTTCTAACCAGCCTAAGGTAAAAATAATACATAGCTCCATGTAGTTTTATCGGTATATATGTTTACATCATTTTCTATATTGTAATATGTTTAATAAATGACTATTTTTGTTGTCTACTAGAGAATGTTGTATATTTGTGTATGTGTGTGTGTAAAAATATGGTTTTAGCGAAAATTAAGTTTCTCTCTTTGATATAAATTACCACAAAATATTAGTACTTCACGTGTATTCTTAAGATTATACTATCTGTCATAAAATTAGTTATAAGCTATGATGTATGTTATGTATTATAAATTGATGCATTATGGTGTCACAGCTCTCAACACAGTAGATCTCATGTAAAGGACCATACCAACAGTAACTATAGTAGCCACAATAAAAGTACTTCAGGGGATACAAAGTCAATTCTGATTAATTGAAAATTCAAAAGAATGGTCTTAGGAGAGTTCACTGTTCTCAGCATAGCCTATCGGTTTTCACCTTGAGTAACATGAGTAACATGCTTGCCCAACCCACAGCATCACACAGTTAGCCACATCCAGCATCTGTTGCCCAAATACACCAGAGCCTTTAAATCTTTATACAGCCTTTCTTTAGCCAGAAATGTCTGCCTTCTGTGGAGCCTGTAATTACAGCCCAGGCTCTCAAACGGAGCTGTCCCTGTGCCTTAGTTGGCTTGTCTGTTGCATGTGTGTAATTGCTGTAACAGCTCCAGTTATCCTGAGGAACGAGTGCTTTAACTTCCATGAAGTGCTGTCAGCAGCACCCACAGCATAGTAAATGATAGCCTCTAACTGCTTCTTGTTACACCTGCTTCTCATTGAAAATCTAAGTCTCTCCCCCCTCTCTCTCTCCCTCTCTCTCTCTCTCTCTCTCTCTCTCTCTCTCTCTCTCTCTCTCAAGTCATGAAATTGTATTTGCATCTTGTTTTCAATTTACCACTATGCATATGTTTGGAGATGATTTTTATAACCATACAGCCCTCATGTCAGGACAAAGCCCCAATGTGAGAACTTGGAGTTCCCCAAACTCTTTGCCACTGCTTCCCCACCTTGTACCACAGTGACTTCCCTGCTTTTTGTATGAAGGCTGTGGCATGCGTCTCCCACATGGAAGTGTAGTTGTCCCACTGCCAGCTGCAGTGTTCTATTGGATTTTGGGGTTTCCAGGTGCAAGGACCTAGCTGGGATGAATTTCCTTTTACCTTTTTTATTTCCTCAGAGCCCATCAAACCCATTATTTCTGGTTGTTCAACAAACAAAAATGCCAATACTTTGAAATTATGAATAGAGAGCTGGTGCCTCTTCCTGGCTTTGTTGTTCCCCCAACTGTCCAGTGTTGGATAAATTGCTGGAGCTTCTAATGCACTACTGCTCTGTTCTCCGCAAGCCCCGTCTTTGTTTGCAGGAGACTTCTGTGTTCAAGCAACTCAGGAAGTGGTTGTATTCCACAACCAATGTCATCTGCAGAAGCTCTTCAAGCTCTGCTTTTCTAGATAATCTACGAGATCAGAAGGAATTTAGACAGGAGAGATGCTTGAGAACATGTCACTGCCAACTACTAGGGATGCAGTAGTGATCCACACAAAACTACCTGCCCTCTTAGTGGGTGTAATAGTGAATGGAATGCTACATGAGTAAAACTCGATACATGTTTTTCTATGAAAAGAAAAGAAGGCAATAAGAAGGATACTTATGAAATCTGGAGAAGACTTATGGACAGCTGGAAAGGAGTTGAATAAACTATTGACTTTTTTGAAATAGGGTAAAATTTTTCCTCCCTTAGATTGAAAAAAATAAGAATAGATAAGTTGTTTCTCTGTGTAGCTTTGGAGCCTATCCTGGCACTTGCTCTGACCAGGCTGGCCTCGAACTCACAGAGATCCACCTTTCTCTGCCTCCCGAGTGCTGGGATTTAAGGCGTGTGCCAGCAACGCCGAGCAGATAACTTTGTCTTAAAAGCCTATGTCAACTACAGTCGTTCCCCCATTGAAACAAGGTTTCTCTGTGTCGTCCTGGTTCTTCTGGAACTCACTCTGTAGACCAGGCTGACTTGGAACTCACAGAGATCCACCTGCCTCTGCCTCCTGAGGCTGGGATTAAAGGCATGCATAACCATCTCCCATCTGTCAACTACAGACTAGACTGCCTCATAATATTTGAGTAAAACCAGATGAGCTCATAGAGTGACTCACACTAACGTCATCAGATACCTGCCCCAGTAAAACTCCATTTAACTTTCTTCTCAATTCTCTTTCCAGGAAAACCAGGATATATATAAAAGGGTGAGTGCCATGCAGTGCCTAACACACACTCTGTACCACGTTTGGAGCAAGTGACACTCAGTGCTAATGTTCTTTTCTTATTTATTCAGTTTTTATTTCACTACTCCAGAACTCAGAAGCCAGCACATCCAGTTACCTCTGAGGTCGGTATTTTATTATGCTTTCTGTATGAAAAGAAAGGTGATGTTTTCTTGTTTTTTTTTTATGCCTTCTGAATTTATATACAAATACAGCCACCTATTAGGCAGGGAACTCCTAGATACCTATTAATAATAGCTCCCTTTGTAGGTTCCCTCTCCCTGCCCAGGAGGGCAAGAATTGTCTCTTTCTCATTAGGGATGGGAATGGTGGGTAGCTGACAGATCTAGAGAATGAACTGCAGAAAAGGGAAAATAAGTAAGAAGTGTGTTCATGTTATCATGTACTTAAACAGAAGTACAGGGAGATCCTGGTAGCACTACACCCATTCCTGTTGCTCCTTATTGCTGGACTTTTGAAAAGTACTGTGTGATGCATAAAGCACTGTCGTCCCCCCATCCCATGGCAATCTATACATGTCATCTTCTGTGGCTAATAGGGTATAGATGCACAACGGGAATAACAACAATCACTTCTAACTTGTGTTTAGCGCTCCAATGTTCAAATTCCAGCTTTTGTTCATGTTAGACAAGCACTCTTCCACCGAGCTACACCCCCCACCCCTCACCCCACTTTTTGACATAAGTTCTCACTATGTAGTCCAGGCCGGGCTTCTTCCTACTCCTGCCGCTAAGATTACAGGGTGGGTGCCATCATGCCTGCTCCTATCCTGGCATTGTGCTGAGCCTGTCCCCTGACAATGGGCAGGACACACACACTGGCACTCAGGCAGATACTTAGAGAGCTCAAAGGGCCCTGTGTTGTACGGCTTTGTTCTGTTTCCCCAATAAACTCCACGTGGGTTTGTTGAGTTTTGTGGTTCCTTTCATTACCTGCAGCTGCAGCAAAACAACAATGCCCATTGACTTTCTTAAAACTCTTAGCGATCCTCGGAGCAGCTTGTGTATGTAGGTGAATTTCTGTCGGGTGGCATTTGAGAAACATTGGAAAGGTCATAAAATCTAGATTTTAGTTTGGATGCACTATCACAGCAACTGAAATTCTACGATGGGATGTATACTTAAGGCTTCCCAAGTCTTCTTAAAGATTGTCAAATACTGAGAAAAATATCTTTTCTCAAAGAGGCAAAGTCACTGATGTTCTGGCTCTAGGTTTGGGATTAGATAAGGAGGGTCCAGCTACTACAGAGCAAAGAGGAGCAAAGGAAGGGGAGGGGCCATGATTGTTTCAGAAGTAAAGCACCAAGGGGACCCACAAGGGCTAGAAAAGGATAGACGCCCTTGCCTGGGAGTGTGCAGGCAGGTGAAGCCAAATATTGTGGTGTCTGATGCTCACCGCCCTGGTATCTCCTTCCCAGAATGCACATCTGAAGAGAGAGGAAGGATCCTGGGCAGCAGCTGCTCTGAGGCTAAGACAGAGTGCTTAGGGTTAATGTCAGTAAGCAACTGATTTATTCTGTGGGGAGATATCTAAGTGGTGTGTTGAAATTGAAACCTGTATCAAGGCAATGAAGCTCTTTATTGAAAACATAAATGTTTTGAGCCTAGGCTCCGGAATTGATTTTACTCTGAAAATTAAACCCATTTGTAAGAGAGGCGAGTCAAGAATGGCAGGCATGTGCGTAGCCCGGGGCTCTCAAATATTCGGCTGAAGTCAACAAGGTTCCAGCTCCTCTCTGAGACTCTCGGCCTCACTCACAGCTTCTCTCTGTTGCAGTTTGCGCCTGTGCACCCCTTGATGCGCCTGGCTGCCAAGCTCGCCGGCCGAAGGATGAAAAGATTGCAGTATCCAGTATGTGCTCGTTTCCTCCCTCTCTAGTACTATGGCTTATGGTAAACACGATAGTAAATGTGTGATGTCGCTATGTGTGGCTCCTTTGTGTTCTCTCCTTGAATCCCAGTCTCCACTTTGGTGCAGAAACACTGGTCCCTTAACCTTGACCTTCCAGTCTGTAACCCCATGCTGTTGTGACGGAAAGGGCCAAGGGAGGGACCCCGTGGCCCAGCCCCATACCATTCCAACCCTCTTCTCCTTTGCTTGGTTCATCCTAAATTTTGTGTTATTTTTTCAATTCCGTCCTTTCCTGCCATTGTAAAATTTGACCTAGTGATATCTCTGCCTCCTGTGACCTTACCTGCCTGTTTTAAGCTTCCCACTCTTAAGTTTAGTAATGACAATTTCAGTAATAGCTGATCTTATTCAAACTGTTAGTAATAATAATAAACTACTGCCGGGTGTTGGTGGTGCACGCCTTTAATTCCAGCACTCCGGAGGCAGGGGCAGGAGGATCTCTGTGAGTTCAAGGTCAGCCTGGTCTCCAGAGTGAGTGCCAGGATAGGCTCCAAAGAGACAGAGAAACCCTGTCTCGAAAAACAAACAAACAAAAAACAAAACAAAAACAAAAACAAACAAACAAACAAAACCCAAAAAACTATTAATCAAGATTTTGTGTATGACAGCAAAAATCATTAATAAAAAAAAGTTTCTTTTGGCTATCTCGAGTCCAGGTACAGGCCAACAAACATGTCCTGTTTTGTCCAGAAACTTCCTAGGTCTATACCCAGAAGTCCTAAGACTCCGGGAAATGCCCCAGCCACTGCCTGAAATCCTTGCTGCCTGAACACAGGCTTCTAGTTCCACTCTGACTCCATTCTTTTTTATTATTTATTTATTTATTTGTTTGTTTATTTATTTATTTATTTTTATCATTGTAATTAGACCAATTTTAAATTAGAAACAAGCTTCTTTTACATGTCAATCCCAGTTCCCTCTCCCTCCCCTCCTCTCCGGCTCCTCCACCCCCATCCCAACCCCTTTCTGCTCCCCAGGGTGAGGCCTTCCACGGGGATCTTTAAAGTCTGTCATATCATTTGGAGCAGGGTCTAGACCCTCCCCCATGTGTCTAGGCTGAGAGAGTATCCCTCTATGTGGAGTGGGCTCCCAAAGTCCATTCATATACTAGGGATAAATACTGATCTACTACCAGAGGCCCCATTGATTGCCCAGATCTCTAAACTGACGTCCTCGTTCAGAGGGTCTGAAACAGTGCTATGCTGGTTTCTCAGCTATCAGTCTGGGGTCCATGAGCAACCCCTTGTTCAGGTCAGCTGTTTCTGTGGGTTTCTCCAGCCTGGTCTTGACCCTTTTGCTCATCACTCCTCCCTCTCTGCAACTGGATTCCAGTGATCAGGTCAGTGTTTAGCTGTGTGTGTCTGCCTCTGCTTCCATTAGCAACTGGATGAAGGCTCTGGGGTGTCATATAAGGTAGCCATCAATCTCATTATCAGAGAAGGGCATTTAAGGTAGCCTTTCAACTAATGCTTAGATTGTTAGTTGAGGTCAAACTTGTAGATCGCTGGACATTATTTCCCTAGTGCCAGAATTCGCTTTAAACCTACAATGGCTCCTTCTATTATGGTATCTCTTTTCTTGCTCTCCTCTATTCTTCCCCTGACTAAATCTTCATTCTCTCTCATATCCTAAGTTATAACCAAAAGTGAGCTGAAGATGCTAAGACAGCTTAACAATGAAATTAACAATGAAAGTTTGCTTAAATCAGAAGTATATTTCAAAGTTGGGTTTACTCAGAGTTGTAAGCAAATTAAACATGTTTGGATCCCAAACTGCAACACTGACTGCATGAAGAAGCTTTCCTTCCAGAACTTGCATCTGGCCCCACTGTCAGCTATTCTCCACAACTGCCTTTTCAGCATCTGTCTTCTGATGACCTTAGAATGGGACCAGGAAGGGACACCATCACACTAGGGCAGCCATGAGGTTATGGGTGTAGTTCCTGATGAATTAATTTGTACTTTGTTCCTTTCCAGGCTTCCAGGACGGCTACTGTGGACTTTCCTAAGAAGGCATGTGAGCCTTGGGAGAACACTGATTTCCAGAAATCTCTAGAAAGATGGGCAGGGAAGTGCTGGAACATGCAGCCCTTCCACTCCCATTTGGATAGAACAGATCTCCCTAGAGTACCATGAATATCTTCTCTAAGCATTGAAGTTGGGGATCCTTGGGCTTGTCCGGAGGTAGAAAGTGATCATGGAAAGATGAGGCTAATATTTCACATGGTTAATGTTTAATTTCTAGTCTCACAGATGAGCCACTTGGGCCATCTCTTACTAGGGACTTGTCCTCTCTGGTTCAGGGACCCACATGCCATTGTGCAAATTTAGAGAAAGGAAAAATACTTCTGCCAGTGCCAACCCTATAGACCAGTGAATCTCAGACTTGAGCATGCCTTAGAATCTGGTTAAAATTAGGATAGCTAGGCTCTACACTGAGATTTAATAGGTCTGAGGTGGACTTTGAGAATTTTCATTAACAAGTTCTCCAGATATCTTTATGCTGCTTGTCTGGGACCATCCTTTTTGAAACCTTCTCCAAGGATGTTTCTTTGACTTAGAATATGACTGTATAACAGTTTGTGTTTTTGTGTTTCAGGATCCTACTTCTACCTTGAGGCAGCCATTTTTCCTTTTCAGGGTATAACTGATTTCCTTGTTTCTGTTTCTACTTGTATTCACTGATGTTATCCCAACTGCCAGGACTAGATAGGTGCTGCGCTCCTCCACTTTGAGTGTGGCTCAGTTAAAAAGTCTTACAAACTTGCAAGGGAAACAGAACAACATGACATAGGCTGAGCATGTCCATAGTCTAGGAGCTTGGAGGGACTCCTGTTGATGGACAGATACTGGGTGAACAATCCCAAGCACTGCATTCCAGGATATGTGATTTAAAATCACACCGGCATGAGGAATTCAGGTGCCGTCTTCTTTCCCAGGCAACAAAAATGTCCTTGCAGAGGTCAAGGAGTCTTCAATCTTGCTCTATTCATTAACTGTACACAGGGGCCTAACTTCTCAATATTTGCATAAAAATGAGTGAATCCAACTTAATCTATGACTGCTCCAAGTTGTATTTTGTGGACCACTGGTGCTACTGCAAAAAATAAGACAAGATTAGAAGATGCAGCACTTAGTCTTCCTGAAAACCCATAGCACACCCTGGTCCATTGAGGGCTCTGGGAAATGCCAGGGAAAATATCACCTAACAACTTTGTTTTCCTAACATCTTTGGCCATGGGAATCCTTATTACCTGTCCCCATTTTCTACAGTTTTTCATTTTCCTGACCTATAAAAGTGTTGTTTTTTGGGAAGAACTCTGAAAAGTAGTAGATCACTCTTAGGTCTCCAGGTGGAGAAGTCTGGAAAGTAGATCTCACCATGAGGTGAGCTAAGTCTAAGGGGAAAGGTGGGATGGAGAATTGGTGTCATGTTCCCAGAAGCACTGAGGGCCTAGAGTATCCCAGTTTACCGTGTTGAGTTGGCATTGTACAAAAATTAATAGCCATATTGGTCTAGAAATGTTGAACTTAATTTTTTCCATTTGTACAGGGGTAATGCACTGTATTAAATATGTAAGGTCTTTTAAAAAAGAAGGGATTTTGAGAGCCCATCCCATGTGAAGGGATGCTCTCTTGACCTGGACACGTCGGGAAGGGCCTAGGCCTGGTCCAGGATAATGTGTTAGAATTTGGGGAGCCCCTTTTGAGGGCCTTACCCTGCCTGGGGAGTGGAGGGGGGATGGCTAGGGGCAGGGGGGGTGTTGGGGCAGAGGGAAGGGAGAGGGAGAAGGGATTGACATCTGAAGCAAGCTTGTTCCTAATTTGAACTAATAAAAGAAGAAGAAAAAGAAAAAAAGAAAAAGAAAAATAAGGCCATTGTGTTCAGTCGAGAAGAAAGTCCAAGCAGTTGTGTCTCAGTATTTTAAAGACTTTCTCCTTTTTTTTCAGCCTAGGAATGGAAGATACATTGACAACAAAATCCAGTAGACAGACCAAGGTTAGCTTAATTGCAGGTTTTTTCTTCCAAGCAAACATTCTATGTCTGACCTGGAGGTATTAGAGGCAGAAGGTGGGGATGCTATTGTTCAAACAAAGGACTCTGCCCCTCCACAGCACCATAGACCTCTCAATCCAACCTGGCAGAAGCAGGCTGTTCCAGCGATGTTACAGCCTTTGCTTTCACCTATGGTTTTGAGAAATATCATTTCTGGGCAGAGTTGTGATAGATATGGCCTGTGTTTCCCTCCCCACCCCAGCCATTTGACCCTTCTAGTGAAGAAAACACTACCCTGGTATGTTGAGGTAGTACTCCAAGGACAAGGAAGTCCATGCATAGGGACAACTCTAGCCTGCTCTGTCTTTCCTGAGGATCCAGTCTCATGAAGGTATGAACATTATATGTTGCCAGCATCAGAGTTCTAGCAGTCCAAGGTGCCTGAGGAAGCTGCCATCATCCTGGGAGATGTAACTATCCAGCAAAAGCAGGAGTAAGGTGTTGCTCAAGTCCAAAAGATTTATATAAATCCAATAACCTAATTAGATACCAAAATAAATACTGTACTAACCCTTTCTCTCTCCCATTAGCCAGCTCCCAAATAATGACACATAGACTTCTTATTAATTATGAAAACTTGGCCTTAGCTTAGGCTTGTTTCTAACTAGCTCTTATTCCTTAAATTAACCTATTTCTATTAATCTTCATGCTGCCACACAGCTCCTGGCTTTTACCTCTCCTCCTGTATGCCCTGCTTCTTCTGCTTCTGGCTGGTGATTCCCCCTTTCTTTTCTCTCTGTCCGGAAGTCCTGCCTATACCTCCTGCTTATCTATTTACCATTTAGCTTTTTAATTAAACCAATCACAGTGGCATATTTTTACACAGTGTAATCAAATATCTTACAGCAATTATCATAGGGAATAATTGCAAGGAAAACAATGTAGGTATTTATGACATGTCATATTACTGTGTAACTGTGAAATGTGCCTATCATAGCTTGCATGTGGCCCTCCACTTAGGATGGCTGCACTTACACTGAACATATCTTTTGTTTTGCAGGATCCAGCGGAACAAGACAGTTTGGATCTTTGGAGGAAATGCCAAGTTGCTTTATGTGTATATTTTACAATGTTACTGTTGTTTCATGCTCTCCAAAATGCTTAGTGGTATAGAAAGAAATAAAGCACCACTGATGCAACATTTCTTTTTTGTTGGAAGGCTGTGGGAATAGGTACATTACCTGAATAATAGATTTCTAAGAAATTACTGACTTGGGGGTGAAGCAAGCTAGCTAACTTGATAACTGAGCACATAGATTTAGGATAAGCTGAGATACTGGCCTCAGATCCTAACTCTGTTTGCTTTCTAGCTGGGTGGCTTTGATGCATTAGTCAGGTTTCCATTTCTGCAGCAAATACCTTATGTACATTACTTAAAAGGAGAGAATATTTGTTTAGGGTCATGGTTTCCTTCCACATGGCCTTCTTGGCCTGCTGCTTTGGCTCTGTGGCTTCCAAGTACATCACAGTGGAAACATGTGACAGAGAAGGGCTATTTACCTGCCTCATGGCAGATGGGAGTCAAGAAGATGGAAGGTATGGGATCCCATAACTCCTTAGAGGGCAGGGCTTCAATAACTTAAGTTCGTTCCCTAGACTCGATCTCTTAAGGTTCCACTTTTTTCTTTTAGCACCACAAACCAGTGACCAGTATTTAGCTCAGGAATCTAGAGCCAAATGGGGATGGGGGACATTCTAGAGCCAAACTGTAGCACTTGGGTCACTCTACTTCCATTCCTGTGCCTCGGCTTCCTGCTTGGTAAAATAGGGTTTGTAAGATAGCATCTCCTTGAGATTGATTTCATGAGAAGGGCCTGGAATTGTCATTACCCATGTGTTGGCTCTACTTTCTACTTTAAAGATGATCTTCATTCCACAGTACAGATAAGGCACTTGCCCTATACACAGATGCTCCCTTTTGTTGACATCAAGAAGTTGAGGAACAATTCCAGATTGCTCAAGAACCATGGGACCTAGGCCTTTGCTTCTCAGGCTCCTTCTCGGTGAACATCTCAGAACCCATCGAGCATAGCAGAGGGTGGTGCAGAGAGTGTATGGGCGGCATGAAGGGCCTCTGTACCACTGACCACCTTTTAGTTTCTCCTGCTCCTCTTCAAATATTAAAGTCTTCCTTTGAAACACCTTAGTTAGAATTGTGACTTTGTTCTTAACCTTTCTAGACCTCTGTCCTAAGTCTGAGGCCATCTTTCTGAAGGGGGAGTATTTGAAGACCTCCCCCCTCCCCCCACCAGTAAATCTCAATGCATGAGATAGCATGATAGGAAGAGACAAACAAATCAACCTCTACCTTGGGTCTGCCAGTGAAGGGACAAAGTCATGTTTATGAGGTATGTTAAATGAGGTGGATAGGTCCACCCACTGTGGGAGGCAGCATTCCCCAGGCAGGGCATCCTGACTGTGTAGGAGTGGAGAAACCATTCTGAGTACTACGATGCATGTACTCGTTGCTCTTTGTCTTCTGGTTGAGGACGTAACATAACTGACCAGCTGCTTCCTGTTGCCTTGGTGCAAGTGTTTATGTGAAGGGTAAAACCACTCTGGCTCCAGAGTCAGAATGTCCACATTTGAATTCTGGCTTGAGATCTTGTTCAAGTTACTTAACCTCCATCTTTGCTCTGTTCCCCACTTAATCTCCTCACCTTTGGAATAGGGATAGCAACAATACCAACACTCGTCTAGTGCCTTCTTTCTGTGATTTAAATAAGGTAATGTATGCAAAAGACTTAGCATAGTAATAGTACACAATAATGAATAAATATTAGCTACACATAATAATAATTATTAATAATGTCTTAAAACAGTAATTCTCAACTGGTGGATCATGACCCCTTTGGGGGTTGAACCATTTCAGGTGTCAAACAATCCTTTCATGGGAGTCACATATCAGATATTCCATGTATCAGATAATTATATTATGATTTGCAACAGTAGTAAAATTACAGTTATGAAGTAGCAATGGAAATAATTTTATGGCTGGGGGTCACCACAACATGAGGGACTGTGTTAAAGGGTCGCAGCAATAGGAATGTCGAGAACCCCTGATCTGAAGCTTCCCTTCTTAATAAAACTTCTGTGGTTATATAAATATTTGGTATCTGTACTGCCCAACATGGTCGCTGCTAATGTGATTGAGGAATGGAAATTTTAATTTATGTTAAACTTTTGTTATTTTATTCATATGAATGTTTTCCTGCATATATGTCTAGGCATCATGGGTGTGTGTTGCCCACAGAGGTCAGGAGAAGGCATCAGATCCCTCAGAACTGGAGTTACAGGTGCTTTTGAGTCACCATGTAGGTGCTGGAAATTGAACCAGGGGCCTCTAGAAGAACAGTAACCATTAAGCCACCTCTCCAGTAAAGAGAATAACACAAGAAAGACAGGAAAGTGGGATTATATAGGGAAAGTTCCAGTAACAAAAAGCATAGAGGGCATGGCATTGGTTCTCTCTCCCTCCCTCTCTCCCTCTCTCCCTCACCCCTCTCTCTCTCACTCTCTCTCTTTTTCTCTCTCTCTCTCTCTCTCTCTCTCTCTCTCTCTCTCTCTCTCTCTCTCTCCTGTCTCCTCTCTCTCTCTCTGTGTCCCTCTGTGTCTCTCTGTGTCTCTCTCTGTCTCTCTCTCTCTGTCTCTCTCTGTCTCTCTCTCTCTCTCTCTCTCTCTCTCTCTCTCTCTCTCTCTCTCTCTCTCTCTCTCTCTCTCTCTCTCTCTCTCTCTCTCTCTCTCTCTCTCTCTCTCTCTCTCTCTCTCTCTCTCACACACACACACACACAGACATAGAAGAAACTAACCTGTGTCCAAATTCCACCTTTACATCTTACTATTGTGTCATGTGGAAAGTACACCATTTTGTGCTTCAGTTTCCCTACCCCTTCTGTGAACCCGATGGTAGACACTGATTGGGTTGTTCTTTGAATTGAATGCTTTATTATTTGTGTGTGCATGTTGTTTGTGTGTGTGTGTGTGTGTGTGTGTGTGTGTGTGTAAGTGTGTGCATGTGCCTGTGCCAGCACCCTGGGTTCTGGAGCCTATACTCAGGTCCTCATACTTACTCAGAAAGGAATTTACTGTCTCCTCACCACTCAGTGCATTAATTCTTATGAAGACTTTGAACATTGCTGACACCTCGCGTGTGCTCAATATTTGTTGGCCACCTTCAATGTTGCTACAGTTTGAGTCCACTGACTCAAGGTGTGTTCGAGGGTATGATGATGGACCCCCATGACTAGGCTTTGAGATACCTTCTTCTCTGATATCAAATTACTAATCATCCCTTGGGCACACTATAGTTTTTCTCCCTTGTGGACTTTTTAATACAGTGGTTAAGAGCCAGGCTGTCATCAGCTACTGCCTGTGAGATTTTTACAAAACTTACCTAACTTCTCGAGCCTCATTTGTTCATGTGTGAGCCTAGAAGATGAGAAAAGTCACATAACTGCTGCTATGATTAAACACAAGAATTCATAGAAGCTGTCGGTAAGTGTGCTGCAACACAATTACAAAAACAAGCTGCTGTTCTAGCATAGAAACTTACTATTAGTTTCCATATCTGGAGACCTATCGTTCTATTTCTAAGTTCACAGTCTTACAGGCACCATAGTAAGTGCATTGTAATAAACCCTGCAGTTCTGGAAGCAGTATGTTAGAATCATGTTAATTTCTGTAGCAGATAAATCATAGACTGTCAAGGACTTAATTAGGAGAATTTTCAGCTCTGATGTACCCCATGGCAATGGCACTGGTTTCTTCCACCCTACAGGTTCTTCTCAAGATAGGCTAAATAGCCTTCCATGTTCCCATTGATGGGAGGGAGAGTTGTAGAAGTGAGGTGATTTCACATGATGAAAACTCAATCACATTGCCAAGCCTGCTGCAAAGAAGCCTAGAAATGGAAACCAGCTGTGTGACCTAGAGG